CGGCTGCCGGCACCGCGATGTGCCGCTGGACACCCCAGGAGCCCCCACCTAAAGGCAATGACACCTTTAGGCGCCCAGCGCTTCGAAGGATGCGGCTTTGTGGGTGCAATCCATATGCGAACAGTGCCAACGCCCCACGGATGGCCAGGCCCCCCCGTTGGCCTCCGTTTCTCAGGAATAACCAAAACCACTGAATTTTAAGGTGCCTAAAGAAAAGGAGGATAAATGCCATGACCATGGCAGGCAGCTCGGCGCTCGCGGCACTATATCGAGTAAATACCCTCAGACCTGCTCAGCACAGACCCGGGCTGCAAATTCGAAGTATTTATGAACGCATGAAATAATCCAAAAAAGGAGAGAAAATGAGATTCCAGATCCTTATCTTCTAATGACATGACTTCAGAAGGTGGCTCAGCTCATTTGCCAATGAGAAGAAGTCGTCTCAGCATGAACCGGCCCGAAGCAATCGGCAGGATTTAGCCACACAGGTAAGGATTCCTCCTCAGCCCCTTCATCCCGCGAGGTAAAAGCAGGAGCCTCGAGCAGCCCCTCCGATCCGTGCTGCTGATGCAAACCCACACACATCAAAATCCCCCAAAAGGCCGGCTGGGTTTCAAACAAAACCAGAACTGATGTTTCCCAAAGTCACCAAAGATTTCCCAAAGATTCAGACCAGAGGGATGGGATGCCCAGATTTGGGGCTGCTCTCCCCTCTAAAAGTCAAAATGAAGCACAAAAAAAAAATGGATTTTCAGTGCTCCCGATAGCTCAGCCGCCGGGAAGGCTCCAAAACACCAAATTTTGTCACTACTACAGATGCAAACTGGGTGGATGGGGGAAAAGGAGACCAACGCAACCCTTAAAAGTGCCGCGTGTGGCGGGGGGCTGCAGGAAGCCAAGCGGGGGGGAGCACGCTCTGAAACCAGACCTCTCGTTTACACGCTAATCCGCATCCCAAAATGAACGGGAGAGAGATTAAGAAATTCAGAATGCGAGGAATGTCACAGTCCGGGGAGGGCCGAAAGGATTTGGAGTGACAGAGGAAACCCCGTAGGTCTCCCACTGCCCACCCCTGCCACGGAAACTTCTTCAGATAGCTACAAGCATCTGCACGGGCAGAGCATGTGTTCTGCACATACGTGACCGGAATCCAACGTGCTATGGAGAGAAAAGAGCCATTTATGTCCTCACACCGCAATTCTGCTGGTGGCATCTAATTTTCTCCCACTGAAAATAAATAAATAAACCGAATCGGATCTCCTTCGCCGAGCTTGCCGGCACGCCTGCCCGGGCAGAGCATCGCTCACATCCGCGCCAGCCGGCAAGGCGAGGGGGCTGCTCCGTGCCTCACCGGGGCCGCTGTGCTTTTATTAATATGTTAATTAACCGGTAATTCCTCCCATCGCGACCACGCCGCTGGGATTATTTGCCGCTCCTAACAGCCTCCATCGCTGGCGGGTATTAAATCCCCAGGAGGCCACGCTCGGAGGGGGACGGGTCTTTTACCAGCCCAACGCGGGGAGCTGCACAAAGCAGAGCGGAGTCCCATGAAATCCCGGGATGGGATGAGGCAGCGCTCCGAATACTCGACTCCTGGCCCATCTCCATCAGTGCCCATCCTGCCCTGGGGAGGGTGGAATCGGGGCCGCGTCCATCAGCCCTTCAGCGAGCTCTGGCTCGACGTGGAGTTGCCCCATGCCGGGTGGAA